CGATTCGACGAGTGAGAATTGGAAGTCCGGCACGCAACGCGTACCTTTCCCCTCATCCTCCTCTCGTTCGAAATCATCGGCAGTGTAGTTTCTACTCTCGCTATCGAGACTATCGATTGCGTTGGCAGAAAAAGCGCGTGGTTGATGGAGATCCATATCGTTTGTCATCATTGAGCCGCCACCGTCGAATTGTGAATAAAGATGGGGATAGTCTAGCTCATCGTAGACAAGCGCAGGATTCGCGATACCCGTCTCACGATCGATGAATTCGTCTGCAAAGAGAAGAAGAAAAAAGTCAAAGGTTGGGTGTATATTTTTACAAATTTAATATTCAATTGTAAGCTTTTAAATAGTAAGCCTATTATTTTTAGACGCAAATCGTAGTTTGATTATGAAAATACACTCTCTTTCTGATATATCCNGTATTAGTATACTACAGGTTGGTGAAAACCCTAACTGGAATTGAGAGTTGAGTTCTTATGTTCGCTCAGTCACAACACTTCGGTGGTAGCAATACTAGCCGTCCGTAACTAACTCTTTCTTTTTGTTTGGCTCCGCAACCGTTCACCGGTTTGAGTCGAGACCAAAAAACTTCGCCTCGTCAACTGATTTTTAACACTCCGTGAGCAGGAGATCTAACTGCGGCTTGCCTACAAGACAACAATTCTGGCTAAGATATTAATAAGCCTTTAGTAAGCATTTGCCTAAAAAAGTCTTCGAAAACAATTAAAAAAAAATCTGAATTCAAAAAAGGAAAAAATGGGCGATTCCATTTTCGGATACTTTGACGATCCGTTTTTCCACTAAAGTGTGCGTTTTTTTTAATACGTTACGATGCAAAAATGAACGAAAATTGTGGTCGTTTCCTGTTCGTTTCCTTATACGAAAAACTCTACGAGACCTCACTGTCGCTAATATTTACGTTTCTCTGCTGGCTGGGAAAGTTCTCTCATTCACCACTTGAGAGAAAGCACTTGTCTATCATTTAGCTCGCGTGCTCCAATGGTTGTTATGGCCGTGTGAGCAAAGCACAGACGTAAGATCCACCTGTTGGAGTCTTCGCACAACTCATTTTTTTTTCTTTATTTTTAGTACCATTTTTAAATTATATTTCGTTTAATCTTCTTTTAATTTTTAGATTTCATTGAATATAAAACAAAAATTCATATTTTTTAGTTCTTTTCTAATTTCATTTAATTTTTAGAAACTATTTTTTTAGCATTTTGAATTATATTTTTATAATTTTTAGATTTTATTTAAAAAAAAGAAATTATTATTTTTGTTTAATTTTTAAGTACCGACTATTTATTATTTCTTTTTTAATTCTATTGTTTTAAGAAGAAATTTTTATATTACATTTATTTTTTTTTAATATTTTGTTTGGGGGTTTATGTTCATTTTATTATTTTTAATTCTATTTTATTTATTAGTTTTAATCAATTTAATTTAATTCAAAAATATATTGGCTCTAGGGAGAGTATCTAATTATTCATCGAGATGCTTGTCATAAGAGAAAAAAATGGCCACTCCTAGTACAGTTCTCTCAAAACTCCATTATCTACCTAACTCCTGCATTGTCGGCTCACTCAACTCTTGCCATTTCATGTAAATATTTAAAATTAAATTTTTAGCTCCACTAACATGGGTGCCCACCCATAACGCATTTAATTTCAAATTGACCCTGAAAAACATTTCCACAGTGCATCCAACTTTTTCAAAAAGCCGCTTCCCACGAGAATATCTAGTAAAACAGCGGTTATCTCCGTTCATCTTTTGAGTAGTCAGAGCTAAATCACTAGACAGCTACATAGCTGAACGCTAGAGCGCAACTAGTTAATACTGAATGCAGGAACATAAGTACCCAAAACACACATGTACTTATTTGCATATAAAGTGTACATATACATATGTACATAAGTCGTATGTACTTACATATGCCTCCAACTATTGTGCTGGCCACGCAGCAGAATTCAACTTCACAGCAAATTAAATCGGATGTTCTGATCTAATCACAAGTGTCGTTAACTCGAAGTGAATTCTCAAGTCTTGCATTAAGTACTCAGCGCATAACTGTTTTCATTTTGTTTATTCGCATTTTATTGCAATACTTACATATTTGTTCATTACTTTGTATGTAGACATATTTCCTTTTTTTCGGAAACTGGCACAAACTGCAAATGGCAAATGTCTACGCTGAATGGTGAATATAAAAACGCATTTGACTTAGATTTTCGGAATCAGTGTAATTGTAGCGGGTAGCGAAAGTGCGCTGCATTGCGCAATAAATAGTGAACGGAAAATTGCAAGAGAAATTTGAAAGTGAAATTAATACTTTTTGCTGAAATTTTATAAAAAAAAAATTCCAAAAAAGTGTTCAATATGAAAATAACTTTGGCATTCGTATTGTTCGCTGGCTTGCTAGCCATTGGCGTTGACGCCGGTAAGTATGCCTCCTCCTTCGCATATCCTGTGGTGGCATACATACATCTAAACTAGCGCATCCTTTTTTTTATCTGTGATTCAATGGTAGTTTTTAAAAAGCAAAAATCAGTAATACCATTTCAAATTGCAGGCAGCGAACCAGTTTGTTCGTATCGGAATAATCAGGGTGAAACGATCTTCTTGAAGTATTTGCCGCTGCTGAAACAGGGACAGGACTATGTGGACTTCAGTGCAGATGGAAAG